CACATCTTTTGTTCTTCAAAGAACAAAGAACAAAGAATCTTGAAGAAATGAAATGTTGCAATACTAGAAACTGGCCTATGAATCAGCTAAGATATTATAACAACTGTGACACTTCTAATGAGTCTGGCAAAAAGGAAAATTCCTTGACATTTCTCGGGGACGAGACACAAACCTAAGCAATTTATATCCAGAAAAAAGAAAAAGTTAAATACTTAGGAAATAGAGTAAGTTTCATTTTAGTAAAATGCAGAGAAATTTAAATAGCACTTCATACAAGAGACAGTGTTTATGGCTAATGAATTTATCAAATGATGATAACTATTACTATTAATACTATTTAATGGCCATTAAAATCAAAACTCTGCCTTTTTATACCTACTGTTTTGACTAAAATCAAAAACCAACACTAATTAGGCTTAAATAATGGTGAATATTATTAACTACTGACATGATCGAAATTTTAATTAAATTAGAAAATAAATCTTCACCACTCTTTTGTTCTTTATTAAAATTATAAGTTCAATTTGTAAGGTTTATTTATTTATTTATTTATTTATTTATTTATTTGGAAAGTCAGGTATACAAGAGAGGAGGAGAGACAGAGAGGAAGATCTTCCATCTAATCTTCCACTACCCAAGTGGCCACAACGCCCAGAGCTGAGCTGATATGAAGCCAGAAGCCAGGAGCTTCTTCTAGGTCACCCCACATGGGTGCAGGATCCCAAGGTTCCCAACTGCTTTTCCAGGACACCAGGAGGGAGCTGGAAATGAAGCAGCTGGGACACAAACCAGTGCTGATATGGAATCCCGAAGCGTGTGAGGCTAGGACTTTAGCCACTAAGCTACCATGAATAGGCCCAATAGTTTATTTTTTGTTTAACTTGAAAATATTGCACAATTCTGCTTAAATCTGTTTTAAAATTGTAGCAATAAAATCAACTGCATATTGTATAACCCAGATTTATCTGGATAGCTAACCAATGTCTTCAATCATTCTCAATCTTTTAAAAAAAAGATTTGTTATTATTATTATTACTTTTTTTTTAATTTGCAAGGCAGAGTTTTGGAGAGAGAAAGAAAGGGAGAGACAAAGAGAAAGGAGAGCTATCTTTTGTCTGGTGATTCACTCCCTGAGGGTCACAGTGTGCAGGACTGGCACAGGCCACAGCCAAGGGCCTGCGACTCCCCGATAGGTGACAGAGGCACAAGCTCTTTTGTCTCCAACTGCTTTTTTTCCCAGGTGCGTTATTAGGGCTCTGCACCTAAATTAGGGTAGCTAGGACTCGTTCTGGTAATCAGACTGGGACACACTCTTGTAGGGTGCAGCTTAACCTGCATGCTGCAGGAAGGGTCCCTTCTTAAATCTCACCTAGTGGTTCTGGCTTTTCTTCTTGGGAGAAAATTAGTTAATTATAAGGTCATGTGTTGCAGCCTAAAGTGGAAGTCTCCATAGTCAAATTGGAGAAAATTGGCAGCAATATGAAGCAAGATAAAGAATCCTAAACGATTTTATTACATATTCAAGGTTGAAATAGCTCTGTGCAGCAATAAAAAAAATGTAAACATCATATGACTTATGTACCTAAATCATACTGTTATGTGTCGACCTGGCTGAGTTACAGGGTGTCTGAACATGTGGTCAAGCATTGCTCTGTTTCTATAAAGGTGTTTCTGTATGAGATTTAATACATAAATAACTAGACTAAGTAACGCGATTGTCCTCCCAACCTCAAATAGGCTTCATTCCCACAGAACAGGCAAAGGCCTCAATAAAACACTGTGACTATCCTTCTCTGAGGAGGAGAATTCTTGCTGCCTGACACTATTTGAACCACATCTTTAAATATTTTCTTCTCTTTAAAATATGAAAAAACATTTTTAAAATGTTCTGTTCTTTTTTTCCATAACACTTACAGACATGTAACATCCATATTGCCATTTCATGTACCACCTCTGTCCCCACTGCACTGCAAGCTTCATGGGGGCTGATTTTTTTGTTCTTTTATTTGTATGTGTGTTTTTAATATGTCTTCAGTTCCTCAACAATCTGTGCTTATTCAATGAATACAAAGAATGATTAGGAAATTTCTAGAAAATCTCCAATGGTTTTCAAAGGAAAGCTGAGTGGGATGGGAAGAGAACTGAATCCATCAGAACTGTCAGTTTTTCAAATCAACAAATAGAATATGGGCATGTGGGGTTCGTGATTTGTGCACATACCTTCAGATGCTGGCAGAGTGCTTCAGTACTCTATGCCTGGAGGCCAATGCTTAAAACTGCAAAGGTTATTTGTGGCCATACACTCTGCAGTACAGTAAATTCAAGAATCAATAAAGAACTTAGAAACCTTACAAGTACCACTTTTAAGCAGAAGAAAGGAACGTGTTTATTTCACACTTCTAAGATGCTAACATGAAAACAATGTTCCAGGGTACAGGATTCTGAGCATCACAGCATTGTACAGATTTAATACCTGTCTGAACATATGGCTGCTTGAAATATTTAAGACTTTTTTTTTCTTTTCAGTACCCTTCAATGTAAACAACATAATTTTCTTCATTACCATTGTGATAATGACTTGCTCTAATGAATATTCTTACAAAGGTATTTAAAAAACTTTATGAAAAACAGAATTCCAAGATTTTTTTTTGTGAAATCAATGCATTGTATTTTTCACAATATGCATTATCCACAAACTTCTTTTTGCGTATTCTAACACTTGCTGGGTCTGTGCTGTTGAAAATCATCCTCACAAGTTTACACAAGGAAGAACCAGTGTTTTAATGACCAAGCTTGAGCAAAGAGCACAATCCCAACTACAGTGTTAGGATTTTGTGCATACATGAGCTTTCAATATAAATGAGCCAAACTCTACTTTAATTGTACTTATCACTGGATGTACATAATTCATCTCCTTGATTGATTATTCTGTTGCAACTACCACTGCTAACTGCCAAAATAATCCTCACTTATTTTTCTACTGTATGTCAGAAAGCATAAATCATAACAATGTGTTGTTACGGTTGTTATCCTCAGAGGCAAAAAGAATATCACGTCAGAAACAGTAGTCAGGAGTGGCAAGTGAGTCTAGATGGGGGAAAGCTGGGATTTTCAACACTGAATGAGGATGCTATGAGTTTACAGCCATTGCTCAATGATAAAATCTAAGCAAGTAATGGGAAGAAGGGAAACTTTCCAGGAAATGGCAGCATATTGAGGAAATAATTGATAAATCAGGATTCTTGACACAAAAGGTCAAAAGTGAGACATTTTATAAAGTTACCTCCACTATCAGAAAAGAATGAAATTAAATAGAGCTGAGCTTCGGTTGCAGCATATCATAGCTCTGTTTGGAAGGAGAAAGAAGATGGGACAGTCACAGGCTGCTCTTGCAGCTCACCTATTTAAATGTGCAGGCAAAGTGAAAATGGAACACGGTGGATAAACACAGCAAGTCTAATTTGAAAACCCATTTGGGCACAAGGAATTCTTAACATGCTGAAGTAAGCATTTATGAAGGATATGTGGACTGCAAAGTTGAGGATGAAAAGACTGAGGAGTGATTTCTAAGATGTGAAAGCCTAGGAGTGTTATGAAGCAGCCACTCAATCCTTCCACAACTTTCTTCAATCACCAACTGCTGTCACAAACAATATTAATTTTTGCCTGCTTAAAGGTTATTGGCTGCATAGGAGATTCAAAACTTTTGTGTTTTTTATTTTTATGTATTTCAACATCAACATAATTATTTTTGTCTCTGTGGAGAGATGGTTAAAGCAGTTGAAGGTATAGAGCTCAAACTCTGCAAGATGTAAGAAGAGAAAAGGCTGAGTTTATTCACATCCTTCCTTGCCTGTCTTTATCTAAGGAATCCCTCTGTACTTTTGGCCTGTTAGATTAGTAGTGGCTGAGCTAAAGACATTAAATCAGAGATACCAAGTAAAGTCAGACTTGATGTGTTTCTTAAGTTCTGACTCCACGATAGACTGTTATATGAGATGCAGAATTAAGGAGACACTCATCAAACGACCCATATTTGTTGAAAATCCTTGATGTAGCTATCTGCACAGCCAAATAAATAGGATCTGATGATTACCCAACTCCCAATTCATGACACTTTAGAAGCAATATATTATTTAATGTTCATTATTACTCTATGTGTAGGTATTATTTTTCTACTTTTACAGATAAGAAAATGAAGGCTTAGATATTAGAGATGTGTAAAGCGTCAGAAAGCTGCCTAATGGTAGTGTTAAGACACTTTAAAGACAACTTTTAATAAACATTATGCTGTAATGTTAATTATCTATTTTTTAATTTGCTGATTCAATATTATTACTGTTTGGGAAATCAAGTGTTAGAATCTGTTTTATTTCATTATCTCATTCATTTCATTTGATTTTATTTTAAAGAAAGAGGGGGAGAAACAGAAAGGGGAATAGATGAAAAAGGAGAAAAGAAAAAGAAAAGCAATCGGGGATGGCAGACCAAACCAAATCCTGAAGTCTAAAACTCCATTCAAGTATCCCACACAGGTGTTAGGGATCCAAGAACTTCAGCTGTTGCCTTCACATTATCATGAACCTGCTTCAAAAGGAGGAGCTAGGATTTGGGCCAGAAAGTCCAATGTGGAATGTGGGTATCTCAAAAGGACTCTTAATCAACAAACTCCTGCCCCTCCCCCAAATGAGTTTTAAAGAACAACAACAAAAAGAGTTAAATTACAAACTGACTTTGTTGTAAGACAAGGCTAAAAATACACAGAAGGTGAAAATACTTTGAGTCTAGAAAGGGAAGGAATGAGTGAGACTACACATTTTGAAGTTATGTAGATACTGGCATCTTCAATGGAGAGCAAATTGGAGATTAGGTGGTTAAACCCTGCATTAGCAATGGTGATAATAAAAGGAAAAAGAAGAGAAAAAACAGAAAAAATTACATCCTACACCAAATATCAAGAAAAATAATCATTGGACAAAAATGAAAAAAGGAGAGCTCCAGTACTTACCTGGGAGGGGAGCTGCCATGATTGAGGGTGGTTTTCCTGGGGCGAGGCTTGTCTGTTGCCCTCTGGATGTACCAACCCTTACGATTTCCCCAAATGTAGGAGACTTAACTGCATAATTTGTGGTAGTAAGAGACTGTGTTTGTCCTCTCCCCTGGGGAAAAAAAAAGAGAGATAGAGCTCTATGGCTTTTTGATTATTCAGTCATGAAAACACTATTTAATTTCATTTTAATTTTAAGAAAGAGGGGGAGAAATAGAAGGGGAAGAGGATGAAAAAGGGAGAAAAGAAAAAAGAAGCAATTGGAGATGGCAGGCTGAACCAAATCCTGAAGTCTAGAACTCAATTCAAGTATCCCACACAGGTGTTAGGGATCCAAGTATTTAAAAGCATGGAATATTATTATTAAAACACACATTGCATCCCAGTGTTTTTTTTATTCCTAAATGATATGTGAAAATACATATTAGAATTAAAGATGAATCCCCTGATCTCAAACTAAGACGATAAAAATATAACAGCTTTTGGAACCTACAGTGTAGTAACTGTGAGAACTGATAGGTCAAACAATATTGAGGAAAAACATATTTCTGTGCTTCTAAGGTTTGGATATAAAATGAGCCTATTTTGCTGTCTTCTATAGTCACCCCTGTCTACATCTGGTTACCTAAGCAAATTAAAATGAACAAAATTGAAAAGTCAGTTTGTCAATTACAGCAGCTGCATTTCTGTATTATGTCACTGCATTTGGCTAGTAGTGACTGTGTTGGGCAAATACAGATACACAGCATGTGTTTTTTTTGCCATCTCAGATAGTTCTATTGGACTAAAGTGTTCTGGAAACTTAGCATAATTCTATTGCCATGGTACAATCTGAGACTCGTGGGATGTTTCTGACTTTGATCTTATATTTGGAAAGCAGACTATGTCTTTAAATGTGCTTCACAGCTGAAGAGTGCCTTTAATAGAAACTCTGTAGCTCTTATAATAAATAACCTTTCCTTACTTCCTCTGTAATATTTTTTAACGTTGCCAATTTTTTTTCTTTAACTAATTTATAAGTCATATTAAGAGCTTTAATCCCAAACTGTAATGAAATGTCAGCTTTTAAATATAATAATTTAAAGTAATCCTGGGGCAAGGCAATAGTTGAGACATGCAAGTTGAGACATGCAATGTTTCAAAATCTTGATTTTAGTTTAATTGACTTCTTTCTTTTTCCTAAACATAGCTGATTTTATCATCTTGAAGCTTGAGGTTATTGTTTTTTCAATAATTCTGTAAGACTTTATATACTTGAGACCAGCACTGCGGGAGAGTATGCTGATCTTCCTCCTGAGGCACCAACATCCCAAATGGACAATGGTTCCTATTCTTGCTGCTCCGCTTCCAACCAATCCCCTGCTTACAGCCTGGGAAAGCAGCAGAGGATGGCTCAAAGGCTTGGCTACTGCATCCACATGGGAGACCCATATATATACTACATATTTATACTCATGCCAATATCTATATAAACTTAAACATATGAGAGAAGGTGGAATTTGTCTCTATGTCCATCTTATTTTATTTAGCTTAATGACCTCTAGTTCTACTCATTTTGCCTCAAATATCAGGATTTCAGTTTTCTCATGTCTAATGTTTTATGATACAAATGTATATACATATATACATGCATATCATTTTCTTTATCACAACATTAATCGGTGGACATCTAAGTTGATTCCACATTTTTGCTAATATGAATTGAACCATAAACTTGGAGCACATCATCTTTTATAGATTGCTTTCATTTCCTGTGGATATATTCCTAGGAATGAGATAGCTGGGTCATATGATTGATCCATGTTCAATCTGTCGAAGACAGCAGAGAGAAACAGGGGGCTTGTGGGATATTGGAGGAGTGAAGGCAAAGTAGTTTCTCCGAGCTGTGCCTATGAAATGCGTAAGATCTGCTTTGTTTATATTTATGTATTTTTAAGTAAGGATGTTCACACTGTGCCGATAGTAACTGGCATAGCTTGCATTCCTCACACCCTTGTAACAGTGTTCTCTTCCACATTCTCATCAGTTTGCCATTTTTTGAATTTCGGATAATAATCATTCTAACTGTAACAACATCATTCCTTTGATGACTGATATTTTGATATATTTTTTTTGCAATCTGAGAGCATGTGTGCTCTTTCCAGTTTTGTGTTTCTTCTTTTGTAATCATGTATTCATTTATTTGCAAAGCAGAGTTATAAAGCAGGGAGGAAAGAGGAGAGGCAAAGACAGAAAAGAAGGAAGGGAGTGAGGAAGGGGAAGAGAGCTTTTACCTGCCACTTACTGTTCACAGGGTCAATGGCTGGGGCTGGGCAGGCAGAAACCAGGAACTTGGATTCCAACCAGCTCTCTTAAATACTTGGTAGGGTTCCAAGTACTTGGACCATCTTCTGCTGCTTTTCCAAGTATGTTAGCATTAAACTAGATCAATTCAGGAATTGAACCAATGCTCTTATGGAATGCCAGTATCACAAATGCCCGGTTAACCTATTGTACCACAATGTGAACTTCTATATCTTCTGTCATTGACGTTTTGTAGATTTCACTGTAGAAATTTTTACATTCTTATCTATTAATTTTTGTAACGATTGTATAGTGCGTAGTGATGCATGCACTGGACAGCAATTCAGCACAAGGACAATGTTAGCTGGTGGTTAGAACGCCAAGTTAACTGGAACAACAACCATAAAAAGAAATTATTGAAACAGAAGAACTTCTTTCCAGTATCCAAGAATTTCGTGTATGGTGGTGGTGCTATAGTAGTATGTGTGTGCAAAATGACTGAAAGACAAGGGGAGAAAAAAGAAAAGGAAGCAGGGGCTGGAAATGAATTTTTCTAATGGAAAAATTGTACAAAACTAAAAGATGTTCATTTTCTAAGATTTATCTGCTAAACTCAAGCTAAGAGAGGCCTTTCACATATATATAATGAACAATTTTTGCCTAAGATAATTTTATTCCAGAAAATTATAAAAAATATTGATTTAGATTCTAAGAATGTTTTGCTGTAAATGATTCTCTCATACTGGACAGGTGTGTTGAAGCATTAAAAGGTAAGAATATCTTAGATTTCTGCCGTGAGTTATTAAACCAACAGAAAGTATTCCACACTGTAATGCTTTGCCATTTTTGCTCTATTTCTATTAAAGATAAAACATTTTGGAAAGTATGAATGCATATTTTGGGCTGAAGGCAAGAAAATACATTATTCAAAGCAGAACATTGGTGAGAACTTCTGGCTGTTTGAAAGCGTTCTGTTTTCCCACTGGGTCATTTCTATTCTATTTGCCTTGTCTTCATGAAATATTTAACAGATGCATCATAGCATTCTCAGTTGCTCAGTAATGAGTTTTAGTAAATTTCCAAGCACTAGAGTAATATCTCACCATTTGAAAAGAAAAGGGTTGTGTCAGTACCATAAATATCTTAATAGCAAATCTATCACATGTCATATTTTATGAAACCTGAAAATATTCAAGAAAGACATGAATCTTAATTCTTGAGCTTCATTGACACAAAGATCAAGTTATTTAGAAGTGTTGAAAAATGAGAATTTTACAGTATATCAGATTACCTTCCAATGCACCAAATCAGAGAGTGTGCAAGATAATTTTTATTGTAGCACATGGAAAATTGGAAAATAAGGTAAATATACACACACACATAATGCCAATAGTAAGGAGACTTTAATTAATCAAGATTAAATTTCAATGTTTTTAAAGATGTATTTATTTTACTGGAAAGGCAGATTTACAGAGAGAAGAGACGAAGATCTCTGTCCACTGGTTCACTCCGCGAGTGGCCACAACAGGCTGGAGCTGAGTCAATCTGAAGCCAGGAGTCAGGAGCTTCTTGTGGGTCTCCAAAGCAGGCACAGGGTTCCAAGGCTTTGGACCAACCTTGACTGCTTTCTCAGGCCACAAGGAGGGAGCTGGATGGGAAGTGGAGCTGCTGGGACATGAACTGGCACCCATATGGGATCCTGGCGTGTGGAAAGCAAGGACTTTGACCACTTGGCTTCTTCACCAAGCCAAATTGTAAATGCTTTTTGAATTAAAAAAGAATTGAATTAAACTTATGATTCGCATGTCCCTGTCATAATGTGTCAGGCTAAATTATACTGAGAGCTATTTTTGCCATTTTCCTATTTTAGGATTAGAGGGCAGTACAAGAAGGCATTGACTATGTTTTGGTTAGGGTTTAGCAGACAGTTTTTAATGGTGGCTCATCAAATACACCACAAGATCCTGGCTTCCTGAAAATTTCCCACTGTAACTCCAAACTTCCCCCTTTTCCCCCTATATCTGTCAACTGTACTTCAAAGCCTTAAGACAAGGCATGGACAAATTTATGGTGTACGTGTCTTCTTTTTTCCCAACCTTCCCATCCTTTCCCTCCATGACACCAACAGATTTTAACAGAGTATTTTCTCACTTCTGTACCTTAATTTTTAAAATGCATGTTAACATTTTGCTTTGTACAGACATTTCCTTAGTTAACTTCATTCCTGTTTTCCCACTTGCCATTTTGAAATAGCTTTCCTGATTTCTTCCACAAATAGTTTGTTAGTACTTGCGAACCTACTGAATACGGAGTGGTGATTTTCGTGTCCTTCAGCTTTCCTGAATTCATTTACCAGTTTTCTATCACTTTAATTCGTTTCTGGCTAGAATTCCTTTTGAGTTTCCTATAAATGAAATTATGTCATCTGCAGATAGGACAATTTAGCCTTTCTTTTCTGGTATGGTGTTTTTTTAATTGGTTTTTCTTTTACACTTGCTCTGCTTGGAGCATGTAATTCTAATGGCCATCACTGCCTTGTTTCTGATCTTGGAACAGACGTTTTCAGCATTTCATTTTTTGCTATGATAATCTCTGAGACATCTTTCTACACACACTGCACTGTGACCTTAGCATCACTCATGGAAACAGCACCTGTAAACTAGAGCAAACAAAGAGCCATTCTACACATAGTGTTTGTATATGTGCTTGCAAATATTTCACAACTTGTGCTAGAATTTGATGAGTATATCTGTTTACTGAAAATCAAGCCAAAAATTATGGGTTTATAATTTACTAGTTTACAAAATATAACAAACTTCGTCTTATTGAGGA